GACCACGTTAAGATTTCATGTAATATATTTCACCAAGCAACCCCAAAAAATTTTTATTTATAATGGTCGTTCACCCTTAACCACCTTTATGTTAAATTTGAGCAACATCCAGCCGACACACTGGGGTTAAAATAGAAACTAAAAGAGACACCTCATATCCTCTCCACCTCACTTCGTTAACTTTACGTACAGTTGATGATCCGTAAAAACATGAATTTCTTTTCATTTTTCATTTCAGCTTTTGGAAGTAAAGTTTGATCAGAAGCCTGTTGGTAAATTGTAATTTATTTAACGTGGTCTGTCTTTTATTCAAAACAAGAAAAAATTTATTATTGAGCTTTCTGGATATCATCCTCCTCAGGTCTTAATACGGATTACCTAAATTTCTATATATATATATATATATATATATATATATATATATATATATATATATATATATATAATGTCATATACCGAGTTTATGTGCGGCATGACATCCGATTGCTTCAAGCCGGCATCATACCTTGAGCTATCAGCGCACGTCAGGGGGAACGGGAAATTCTAACGTATTATATTTACGAATTTATTTATATTTACGAATTTATTTATAAATGTAAAAGACAATAGGAAAACTGTAATAGTTACCGATGCGTTTCGTCTGGATTTTCAAGGCAAAAGCAAAATGAATTTATTAAAACAAAGTAACTATTATAACAAAAAACAAATGCCCTTAGAACTGGAAAGAATTTCGCTATTTTCATTCTGTTAACGGAATATGAAATTTTTCAGTTAACGGTTGGTCTGAGGATGATCATCGTTATTTTATGCAACTGACGAAAGTGGGTCGGCCATACCATCTCTCATTGGTTTCGATTTTGTGCTTCTCTCTTCAGATATATGTCGCTACCTTTGTTATGTCTCTGGGTATATTCAACAGTTCCGGTTATCCTGAGGTAAATGGAATGACAGATGAATCTGAAATTAATCATCTTATGAGATCTGAAGTCTTAAAAACACAAAGTCAACGAAAAGAAAAACCAGTCTGGAAAAAAATAGAAACCAAAATAAATAAACTTTGGAAAATTACACTTCTGGATAGTGACAAGGATTCAAAAATGAAATAAAGATACTTAAACGAAGACGTATGAAAAGTTAAGGAAAAATGAAACAACAAATTCCCATAGAGAAGATTCTTCATAAGCAAAGATCTTCAAAGAAGATTTTTAACAAGGAAAACTGCAAAATGCACAATGAAAGAGTTACATAGATCAGCAACAGGGATACAAATATCCTTGCCAAAAATGATTGATATTAATAACTGAAACAACTGCTGCCATCTGCAAAATTGAACACCGAATAACTATCTATCGCGCACGAGCATAAATGTAATTAAACCCAGAAAAATCTCAAATGGCTAACATGAATCCACCTACTCCCACAAACAGAAGAGACGAAAATGAAAAACTAGGCCAGGATAATCATAACCGAGAGGACATACAACTTTCTTGAGAAAAACAATTTATTCCCATCAGAACAGAAAGGATGTAAGAGAGGAATTTACGGACCAACTAATTATCAATAAAACAATATTGGAAGAGGTGAAAACAAGGAAAAAATTGTCGATGCAAATATCCTTAGGGAACTAACCCGAAATGCAGGGTCTGCGGAAAATATGATGAAAATGTCGACCATATTATCTCAGGATAACCGGAACTGAGAATATACCCAGGACATGGTGCACTGGAAGATATGCAAGAAGCACAAAATCGAAACCAATGAGAGATGGTATGGCCGCCAACCAGATACAATTGCACAAAATAACGATGTAACTATCCTCTGGGACACGCCAATTCAAACTAACAGGGAAATAAAAGCCAACAGACATGATATTATCATAAAAGACAAGAAATTCAGGGAGTGTATATTATTGATATAGCAGAACCATCTGAGAGAAACACCTCCATAAACATCATGAAATTGTCCAAAAAAAAGGACCTGGAGATCAGATGTGTGGAATGAAGACTGAGACTGTACCAATAATAATCGGAGCACTGGGCCTCAGAAGGAAAGGAATGGACAATTTTGCTAAGAGTGTTCCAGGTAACATCAACATACAAGTTGCCCAGATAATCGATCTACTACGAACATCGAATATCCTGAGAAATGTGCTATCAATTAAATGACAATTCTCCTATAGAGCCTAAGAACCATAGTTTGGACCCGGCTCTACAGGATACAAAGCAGGAAACATAATATACACAAATAATAATAATAATAATAATAATAATAATAATAATAATAATAATTAAAATTGTTGAAACTTGACTAATGCATGGAATAATAATGCAACACAAAATGTACTTAGAACAAAATGTATTGAAACAAGAAAGTGTACACAATATTTACATATAGTCTTTGGTATATTCCTGGTAAGACCGTTCCTGGAGAATGTGTTGACTGAGTCGCAGTCGGGCAGAGTCTCTGGTTGAATCTCTTGATTCCTCCCTCTCTTTCCGGTACCAACCATATTTATATGGTCGGTACTCCACTATGCAAATTAGGTGGATCCTACCACAACAATAATAATAATAATAATAACTGAACTGGATAAATAATAAATATAATAATTGTCTCTGGGTATATTCATTTTTTCGCCACTATCCTCTGGGATACACCAATTCAAACTGACATGGAAATAAAAGCCAACAGATCTGATGTTATCATAAAAGACAAGAAATTCAGAAAGTGTATATTATTGATATAGCAGTACCATCTGAGAGAAACAACCACATAAACATTATCATGAAATTGTCCAAATACAAGGACCTGGAGATCAGATTAACAGGATATGGGGAATGAAGACTGAGACTGTACCAATAGTATTCGGAGCACGAGGCTAAGTGAGAAAAGGAATGGACAATTTTACTAACAGTATCCTGGGTAACATCAACACACAATCTGCCCAGATGATCGCTCTACAGGGAAGATCCCATATACTAAGAAAAGTGCTATCAGTTAAATGACAATTCTCTTATAGGGTCTAAGGACCAAATTTGGACCCGGCTCTACAAGATACACAGCAGGAAACCTAAGACACAAACAACAACATTAATAATAATAATAATAATAATAATAATAATAATGATAATAATAATAATGAAAATTCCGAGAACGGTAAACAGTGGTTGAAACTCTCTGATAAACGTAAAGAAATTGATTTTGGTTAGAATAATTCATGAATGAATGGAAACAATGAATCCCCTCTCTTGGACAATACTATAAGTCCTGAAGAGTCCACGTGCTTAAGATTTGTGATCAAAATAAGAAAAAACAGGATTCTCGTATAAATGGTTTATTTTAGGATGAATGAAATCTTCTAACTTCTGAGAAACGTGAAAACGAAGAGAAATTGGTTTATGATATATAGGAGAATATTTATTTTTTTCCTCGATAGAAAATAAATAAATTATGATTTGTAACATTTTAGTCTCAAATCAGAGAATGAAGATAGAATGATTAATATTTTTCTCGGAAGTGTTTACTTCAGTGGCTCTAAAACTAATTTAAAAGCATTAATTCAAATCTATTTAACGCATCAATGAGATTGATGAGTATGAATCTCTTCTAAACAAACAGCATGGATCTCTGACATTTAGAAAATAAATGCGATTTCGTCACGAATTCAAATGATACATTCATATGTGTGCTTATAAAATGTTTGGTATGCTCAGCTTTGAAAAAGAAATGGTATGAATTAAAAACATATATAAATCATATTGGTAGCCGAAGAGATAGACAAAATGGCCAGAAAATTTTTCTCTGTTTAAAAATTTCCGCGATAATTTTAAAAAAGAGAATTTAAACTGAAAATCCAAACACTGCAACTAATGGCGAATAAAAATCTAGAAAAAATGTCGTTAAAACTTTTTTCTTTTCCTGGTCTTATTTACATTATTGAGTTATCCTGTACGGTAAAATTTACCCAAACACCTTAGACTACCAGTAATTTTAATTGGCCTAACATCAAACTGAATACATATAATAAAACTATAGTTCCACTGTATGCTATATTTATGGACGTGGGCTCAATATCAGTGAGAGAATGTAACAACGACAGTTTGTTACAATCTTGAACACAGTCTTCAGGCCATGTGTGTTGAGTGGTAGCTCCACTGGTGGCAGCTAATATTTACACAAACTCCTTAGACTACTAGTAATTGTACTTGGCCTGACTTCAAACTGCACACATACAGAAGAAAAAAGGCACGCACACGAACACACACCCACACAGGTGTGTCTGTGCCTGTGCGGGTGTGTGTGTGCGCACGCACACACGTGCACAGACACACACAATTTAATGGTTATTTTTAATCAGTCACTATTTCTTGTTACTATAATCTTTATTTAATGGATTTGTAATGGATATTTAATAGTTATTTTTAATTCAGCACTATTTCTTGTTAATATAATCTTTATTTAATATATATTTTATGGATATTTAATGGTTATTTTTAACATTTCTTGTTACTAGAATCTTTATTTAATTGATATTTAATGGGGTTTTAATGGTTATTTTTAATCCGACATTATTTCTTGTTCAATAATCTTTATTTAATAGATATTTAATGCATATTTAATGGTTATTTTTTAATCCGACATTATTTCTTCTTTTAGTTTTAGTGGGTGCACGCATTCGAATTGACATGTCAGTTTTTAATTTTCTTAAAAAGTGAAATATCAGCCTGCTAAGCTCGTGAAATCCCACCAAAGAATGTGACTGCGCTTACGTTTCGGATGGGAAACTGAAGTTAGCAATTCTAGATCCGAGGAAGTAGGAACGATAGCCGTGTTCGAATTCCAGTCGAGTTCGTTGCATTCCCCGTCCTTTGGATTGGTGACCGGTCTAGGAAAAGAAAAACTCTGAAATGAAACTAATCTCGAGGGGTTTGGGCTCCGTCAGGCTAACTTGCAAAAGACACACCACTACTGCTCATGTGGTGAGCCTAGGAACGCAGTAGATTACGAAATTAGTAATCGAAACGATCTATCTATCTATCTATCTATCTATCTATCTATCTATCTATCTATTCCCGTCTTTTGTGTGCATATCTATCTATCTATCTATCTATCTATCTATCTATCTCTTCCCGTTTTTTGTTTGCTATCTATCTATCTATCTATCTATCTATCTATCTATCTATCTCTTCCCGTCTTTTGTTTGCCTATCTATCTATCTATCTATCTATCTATCTATCTATCTATCTATCTATCTCCCGTCTTTTGTTTTTATCTATCTATCTATCTATCTATCTATCTATCTATCTATCTATCTATCTCTATTCTTCCCGTCTTTTGTTTGCCTGCCTATCTATCTATCTATCTATCTATCTATCTATCTATCTATCTATCTAAAAAAAGAAATGCAGGTTCGATTTCGAGTTGTCGATCTAGACTAGTTGTGATTTATTTGAATATCTGTCTAAGAAAATTACAAAAAGAAACAGGGACGTCACTCAAACACGTGTCCTTTACTAGAAATAACGTTTGAAGTAGTATATATATATATATATAAATTATATTTAATCTCTCTCTCTCTCTCTCTCTCTCTATATATATATATATATATATATATATGTATATATATATATATATATATATATATATATATATATATATATATATAATGCTGTGATATACATATATATATATATATATATATATAATGCTGTGAGTTCGTGACCCTGGGTTTCACGCTATTTGCGATTGTCAGACAAACATAATAATATATATATATATATATATATATATAAATTAAAAGCATTATGTCTGTTTATTTTTAGTATAATCCTTTCATATTCACTGATATTTCTCGTGTAATACAATCAAATGATGAAATATCCGTGAATATGAAAGGATTATGCTAAGAAAAAGCAGACTTAATGTTTATAATTTATTTAATTAGACATGCCTAAAGAGAATTTGCTGCCTAAACACAAACACAACACACACACACACACACACACACACACACACACATATATATATATATATATATATATATATATATATATATATATATATATATATATATATATGCCTCCGCCAGTCGTTGATGATTATTGATTTGATGCCACCTATCTGCCGCTCTGGGACATAGCCGTTGAAAATGCCGATGCGCGAATGGCGATCTCTGTCACACATGTCACACCGGTAATATTTTTGTGTGTGTTTTTATGCTACTGCGTTCTTTTCTGCGAATCCGTTTGTGTTTTGGTGCGTTGTTAAGTTTCTCCTCTCTACTGGGGTCGAGATGCCAAGTCAGGATCTATTATGTTGCACATCCTTCTTTGGGATTTGTCGAGAACCTCGAGATGAACAACTAGGGTACCGGGCCTAATATAGCAACAATACTTAATGAACGGACAAATAGTAGTTATTTTTGGTAGATATGTTGGATGGACTCAGTCGAGAAAAAAACTTCTGGCATGACATAGTGAGTTAAGTTTCCTTGCAGCAGAGATAGCTGTTGATTCAGTGTTGTTGTTCCACTTCAAGCCATTCGTAAAGCCAAGAAGACACAATAAGACACTCTCCTGGAATCTAGCATCGATCATGCTTATGGCAGGTAGGGAATTATCTCTGTGGTGATTAAATGAAAGCAGTTTCGTTTTGGGGGGCATTTAAATTTACTAACCATTTCCTGCCCCAGTTTACCACTGATTGAAGGCCCTTTACGAAAGCAGCGTCCAGGTTGACTTTGTCAGCGCTTCCGGGTTGGCTTTTGAGACAGAAGTAAATGGTAGTGTCATCTGCACAGGAAAATCATTGACAAAGATCAGAAACGGTGTAGGACCCAGAATAGAACCTTGGTGGATCCTCGCATTCAAAAGAAAGGACCTGGAAGCGTGCCAGTTAAGGACGACCTTCATTTCACGATTTGAAAGGAATTAATTTATAGGAATGGGTTCAAAGCAATGATTCATATAATTTAGACGCAGGGTGGGTAACAAATATCGACTTTTATTGTGTTTTCTATGCATATTTAATTATTATGCATATGTGTACAGTTAATTATATGAAAAGTATGTTTATTTATTAGTTGTAAATGCAATAAATTAAAACATTGTGTACGAATATTTGTCCCCCCCCCGCTGTATGTCTGTTTTTCTGTGTTGCCATTAAATCAAGAGTAATTCACCTAGACTGGTTACTGTCTGAACATTAGATACTAAGTCATAAAACGGACAACTGCCTTAACATTAGATACTAAGTCATAAAACGGAAAACTGTCTGAACATAAGATGCTAACTCATAAAACGGACTACTGCCTGAACATTAGATACTATGTCATAAAACGGACTACTGTCTGAACATTAGATACTATGTCATAAAACGGACTACTGTCTGAACATTAGATATTATGTCATAAAACGGACTACTGCCTGAACATTAGATACTATGTCATAAAACGGACTATGGTCTGAACATTAGATACTATGTCATAAAACGGACTATGGTCTGAACATTAGATACTAAGTCATAAAAGGACCATTTTATGTCCATTAGACATTAAATCATAAAAAAATATTTCTCATTCCAAGACTCAATCCATTACACCCACCCCCGCATCGACATAGTGGACTTGTCTGAAAAAAACAAATGTATAATCAAAATATGATTCAATAAGGTTAAATTTGAGGGTCCCTAATGTCATAAAATATCAAACATCTCTCTGATATATAATATATGTTCTGTTATGCATATCTTAATCTATTTAATAATGTTACTATAATGCATTATAAATATTTATTATTTTCCCATCCATAGTTGGGATATAACAAATACTGAATCCCCTATTAAAAATGCCATAAGAACATAAAAACTTTTAATGAAATTTGGCATGGGCTTCTGCGGAGCTCTAAGGTACAATATGCTCCTAAATTGGTTGTGGTACTATGTATTGTTTAAGCCGTATCTAAGGAACAAACAAACAAACACACACACACACACACACATATATATATATATATATATATATATATATATATATATATATATATATATATATATATATATATATAGTGAATTGTATAAATATATATCGTGTTAAGTATCATTTACATTATTCGGACTTTTATCCTTCATTGCCATATTCACAACGATTCGACCGTTGTACGCCCCGGGCTTTTTCGGGTGATTGGAATTTACAATGCAACCCGTTACTTCGTCCACCGGGGTAGATTGTTCTAGTTCCACGTGCCATGCCTCTTCCTGGTGTCTCAGTTATTTCCCTTTAACTCAACTCTTCAAGTTTTGGTTCACGACTGCTGTGGTCTGGTATTGAACTCACAACTCTTTGGATTTATCTTTATCGTCTTTATCCACTGGGACATGTGTCCTTGAAGATGAGGATAACGGTCCGAATAATGTAAATAATCTAAGTAATCATAATACCTCATCTCAGAGATATAGGCAGACATTAAAAATATTTTGTCTTTAAATTTAAATTAAAATGAAATTAAATTGTCTTTAATTATCCCGTGAACGGTTGTCAAGCCGTAAGGAACAAATCAGTCAATTAATTATTGTATCTGATCTATTTTTAAAGAATAAACTTTAATGTTCGACTAACGTTTAGAAAAAAAAAGCTTATCAGTATAGTTGTCATGAAAATAGTTGTAGAAAAGACAGAAGCCACGTCAGGTCGCTGGCCAGGATAGATTGAGTTACAAAACTTTCTTTGAATTTTGTCAAGCATCAAGCATCTCGAGATATACAGCCTACCAGAGCAGATTTACTAAAAGTATTTAACTTACGGACGAATGGTAGAATGTATTTTATATAAAGAACAACCATTTTTAACCGGCTTTCCGACTCCCGCTGATACACTTTGTCAAATGACATTTAGTTTTGTCTTTCTCTCTGTACAAGAAAGACAACGGGTCTTTATCTGATAAGCCACGACAGCGTCCATTTGTAATGTAGCCTCTCGAATTTTTGTTGGTCAGATTGTTTTTTGCATTATTGACGTCCGCGGGGAATAAATTAATCGTTTCATAGAAGCCAGCGAGACGATATTATTTTTTTTTTTTATTATCGTAAAGATTGTTTTTCGAAAAATTGAAAAATTTGAATCACTGTATATAAATATTTTGAAAGAAAAATCGAAGGGAAATGAAAAATAAAATTAATGTAACTGCACGAGTAAACAGTAGGGAACTACACCATCAGAGCAGACCCATCCAGCCGAGTACATACACGCATAAAGTTATGATTTATATTCTTAAATAATAAACTGAAAGTGTAATATTCTTATTTGTTTTTCAGCTAAAAGTTTTAAAAAATTACACATGAAAAGCAAGTGTAATATTTTTAAAAACTGCTTTGTCATATTAAGATAGATAGCTGTAAATATTGTCTTAAAGCAATATGTCTTCCGATTTCCAAGTGTATTTATGTGCGCATGCGTACTCATACATTTTATTATACAGAGAACGTTGTTCCCACAAGTTTTGAAAAAGATTGTCTATAAATTATTGATTGTCTTCATTCATTAACATCGGAGACTATTGTCGATGTGAATTTGATACTGAAGATATGATTATAATTTCTGTCCTATTTCTATACTTTTTATTACTGAAGTTCACCTTATGAAGGCACGTCCTGGGGAAAAGACAGACGCTCGGATTTTCGTGTGACGCGTTTCGCCCTTCAGGACACATACGAACGAACTGGAGACGCTTAAAATTTTAGTCATGTTTATGTCGATGTGACTACACATGTGCATGAAAGAGGGGGGACGCTGAAAATTTTCAGCGTCCCCTCTCCTTTATGCACTTGATGGTATAAATTCGTCTTTCAAGTTTTAGATTTTTATTTTATTTTGTGTTAAGTTTTATTGTTTTAAAAATAGTTGTAACGGATTTTGTTTTAATCTTAAATAGATTCGTTTATATATATATATATATATATATATATATATATATATATATATATATATGCCAAACTGGGTGCCAAATTATTATCGAGATACTTTTTTCTAATATTTCAAAAACCGTCCAATCAATTTCCACAAAATTTCCACACAATGTTGGCAACACTGACCTGCGCTATGTAAACAAACTGGCACCATATTTGTTATCAGCACGGTGATTTGTGCGTGCCAAATTATTAGAAAATTGTAAGAATTTAGTGAATAGATGGGCCGTAAAAGCAGTTTAAGTGATGCTGAAAAGAAAACTATCACCTTAGAAATCTCAAAAGGTAAATCTACCCTAGAAATTTCTAAAATGATAGGGAGGTGTCATCAAACAGTGAAAAAGTTCACCGCCGACCCTACACAAGTACGCAAAAGAGCAGATAAAGGCAAGCCGAGGGTTATTTCACGTCGTCTCATATCACGACTTAAACGAGAGGCCACGAAGAACCCTGGACTTACCAGTCAAGAGCTTTTCAGTCGCATTGGGGATCCTACTGTGTCTAAAAGTACTCGGTGTTGGTATCTGAGGGAAATAGCAACAATAGTCAAACCTGTATTGAAGCCTCCGTTTACGAGAAATCATATTCAAAATCGATTGAAATGGGTCGAGGACAATATGAAGATTGACTTCTCTAAAGTTTTGTTCACAGACGAAACTCGAGCAACACTTGATGGGCCAGATAAATGGGGCAAAGGCTGGGTAATGAACGGACAGAATCGCCATCAGCGTTTGAGACGCCAACAAGGCGGTGGAGGCATAATAATCTGGGGTGGTATTATTGGAAAAACATTAGTGGGCCCATGGAGAGTACCAGATGGCGTTAATATGACTGCTGATGCATACATAGCGTTTATGAAGGAGCATCTTGAACCGTGGATGAAAAAGCCAAGAGTTGCCTTCAGAAGGGCCATTGTCTTTATGCAAGATAATTCTCCCTCACATGCTGCTCACAAGACTTCTGAATATTTGAAACAGTTAGGCTTCGATGGACCTCGAAAAATGAAGTGGCCAGCAAATTCTCCGGATTTGAACCCAATCGAAAACCTTTGGAGCATCATGAAGCGAAGACTGTACGCCAACGGACGACAATTCAGGAGCAACGCTGGGTTGTTGAGGCAATTCTTGACAACGGACGACAGATGACATCCTACAATTAACAAATTCTATGGATCGTCGACTTCTTCAAGTAATTTCAAAACTGGGAAAGCACATTCCCTATTAATTTGTTTCAAACTGTGCCTTTGTTTGTATCTGTTATTATTTTTTGATTATCTTATATCTTTGATCATAAACATTACGTGCAACATTAATAAACATTTTTTCCTCAATTCTGGGAATTTTACTAAACCTTTTTAATGGCAAATCACCGTCTGATAACAAATATGGCGCCAGTTTGTTTACATTGCGCAGATCAGTACGAAAATTTTGGTAAATATCCAGGGCTGCAATCTTTGAGTGTATCTAATCTATCTATCTATCTATCTATCTATCTCTATCTATCTATCTATTATCTATCTAAATACCTATGTTTAATTTATGTGTCTGTGCATATTTGTTTATCTATCTATTATCTATCTATCTATCTATCTATTATCTTATTTATCTATCTATCTATCTACCTCTATCTATCTCAGTCAGTTCATTATCTATCTATCTATCTATCTATCTATCTAAATACCTATGTTTATTAATATTTATGTGTCTGTTATATATCTAACATCTATCTATCTATCTATTTTTCTATCTATCAATTCAGTCAGTTCATTATCTATCTAATTTTATCTAAATCTATCTTTTTATCTATATCTATCTATCTATTCTATCTATCTATCTATCTCAGTCAGTTCAATCTATCTATCTATCTATCTATCTATCTATCTATCTATCTAAATACCTATGTTTATTAATATTTATGTGTCTGTTCAAATATCTATCTGGCTATCTATCTATCTATTGTTTAGTTCATGATTATCTATCTATCTATCTATCTAAATACCTATGTTTATTAATATTTCTGTGTTTGTTCATATCTATCTATCTATCTATCTATCTATCTATCTATCTATCTATCTCAGTCAGTTCATTATCTATCTATCTATCTATCTATCTATCTATCTATCTTGGTCCTGTTCCTTTTTCTTTTTCTATATGCATCTACTTATTTCAGTCTGAAGAAAAATATGGAAAAACAAAAATCCGAATATGCAAGTATGCTGTTTTAATGCCGTTTCAATGTCGACGTCAGACGTTTCGGTCTAGTAGACCTTCTTCAGGACATAGTTATTAAAACATAATTAAAATTAGACGATATTCAAGTCAACATAAAAAGACGATAGACATAAGACTAATCAAAACAGAATAATATTTCAGTCTGTTCATTTCTATCTATCTATCTGTCTATTTCAGTCTCTTCATTTTTATCTATCTATCTATCTATCTATCTATCTATCTATCTATCTATCTTTGCTTATTCATGTTTGTTCATATCTATCTATCTATGTTTATTAATGTTTCTCTGTCTGTTCATATCTATCGTAATCTTTTTACTTTCTTTCTTTTTCGTTATTTTTTCATTCCTTTATCTCAGTCTCTTTCTTTCTTTCTTTCTTTCTTTCTTTCTTTCTTTCTAATATGCTTTCTGCGTGTCTGTATTTATTTCTATGGCCATTTCCATCATTTATATTTGGTCGGAAGAAATATTGCCCACCAAACCGAGTCGATTGACCGAATGTTTGAAATCCAATGTCGAGTCATAAACAATTGCTCAATGGTCTGAATACGACCAGCCTAACAAATATTAGCTTGGAATCCAAGTCTTCTCTTGCCATTATTTTGAACTGCAGTCATGCAAGACTCTCTTGGACAACTGAAGAGAAATTAAGAAAAGCGAAACTTCGGCAGACAAAAATATTTAGAGGTCGACATTTGGTTTCAGTTTATGGCGTCCAACTTCAGTAGGAAAATAAAAAATACAGTATAGAGTCGGTCTATCTTACATAACTATAAATCTACAATTCGTCCACTGCTAGTACATATGGTCTGTTGCTCCTGCTATTTTTCTAGATCACTTTAATAAAACCCAAAGAAGAATCAGCAATATTATTCGTCTTGATCTGGCGTGTCGGCTTCAGTCACTTTCCCGCCGCCTTAAGGATGCCTCCCTTTGCCTTTTCTATAAATACTTTCATGATTTCTTTGCTATGGTGCTAAGATTCTTTGAATTTAATTGCAGTACTAGACTAGCGACGAGGCCTCACCAATTTACTGTTGAGCTAAATAGATGTAACCGTAATTTCTATTCTAACCGTATCTTTTCTCGCTTGTAAAACTTCCTTCCGTCTCCATGCTTTCCAGTTAACTTTAATCTGCAAGAATTTAAATGCCATGTCAATCGCTATCCTCTATATTTTTTTTTTTTTTTTGTTCTCGCTTCGTAGCCATATTCCTATTTCTATCTCTTCCGCATCCAGTGACACCTTGTGCGTTAGTGGCTTTACGACTTTGCTTGTTGCGAACTCGATTAAAAAAGATATGAAAACAGGGTAATGCACATGTACTATATATGAATATATCTAACACCACTTGAGATGCCGATACATATCAAATAAAAGCTTGCAATGTGAAAGCACTTATACTGGCGAAACATCTCGAAATCTAAAAGCGGGTATCTACGAGCATAAAAGGTGTTTACATTTGGGCAACCCTATAAACTCTCCCGTACTACACAGGAACAAAACTGGTCATAACTTTGATTTTACAAACACCACCCTAATTAAAAAAAATAAAAGATAATTTTTTACGTCAAAACTAAAGAAGGATTAAAATAAATATTTACCAATAGCATTTTTAAGAACGACAACACAAAATTCATTGTGTCCTGGGTATGACGATAAACTACATCCGGTAGCAAGTCTTCTGATCGGGAAGTTTTGAGGAGTGTGAAACCACCTTTTAATTGCGATTAAGACACTATGAAGGGGTAATTTTTTTTTTTGTTTTTTTTTTGCATTGATTATATGAGCAATTGAAAAAAGAATATTACCAGCAATACATTGGCCTCTCGACAAAAAAATCTAGTTTACAAAAATATAACAACGAAACCTGATTACAAACTGATTTCCTACAAAGATCTTGTTGGCATTAAATAACACATTTAGTTTGAAACGCCGTAAAACAAAAAATAACCAAATCAAAAGACAAAAACACTTTTTGCAGAAATACGTGAATGAAAACTGATCTACAAACTGATTTCTTACAAAAATAATATATATATATATATATATATATATATATATATATATATATTGTATTCATACGAACCTGTCCTAAAAATTTTGTTGGCAATAAATAACCTATTGAGTCTGATATGACGTAAATCATACTAAAACAAAATTCATGATTCTACCCGCTAAAACTCTTTTTGCTAACCTGGAAAATATATTCAGTCAGTCATTTATGTACCATCGTCAGACATGTATGTTTCGATACATGACTGACGAGGCAGATATTTTCCCGCACTAGGTAACCATCTCTTCCTGCGATACAGAAGTTGACATTCATTGGGAGAATAGGATTCATATCTTTACCCAAGGAATGTAATGGGTAAGTGAATGTAATGGATTCGACTGGAATTCGAACTCGGCTCTCTGATTTCACAATCCGAGCCGTAATCAATTATTCCACCGTGCTTCCTCTGGCAAATATCCTAATACTAGGATCTTTACCACCGCTTTCTGAGATATAATTAGGAATAAAAATTAATCCAAAATCAATTCAAATACTGGTAATTATAAAATAGATATATAGATAGATAATTATATATAGATATGAACAGGCCGTGATAGATAGATAGATAGATAGATAGATAGATAGATAGATAGATAGATATGAACATGCTGATAGATAGTTTTGTGATGTCAACGAACACCCGTTGTCACTTTTGTAATGCCAACGAATACGCGTAATACTCGTTGTAGTAGAGACTTTGTAATCGCAGATACAACTATAGTAACGCCGTTGAACAATACTGGTGTCAGACACCTTCGAATAACACTAATAATACTCGCTGGAAAAAGTAATCCGTGTAGTGATCCGAATAGAGAAATAGTATAGTAAATAGAGTAGAGAATAGAGGTTCGTATAGTATAGAGGATAGAATAGAAATAACGATCTGAATAGTAATAGACGATAGACTAGAAATGGAGATCCGTATAGTAATAGAGGATAGAATAGAAATACGATTGATGGTCGTCACGATAAGTCCCTATATATATATATATATATATATATATATATATATATATATATATATATCCTCTATGGTCACGTGATCTACTTAATTCAATAATGTTCAATTTCAAGGTGCCGGCAGTGACACTCTATTCCTATATTGCAGATAGATAGATAGATAGATAGATAGATAGATAGATATGAACAGACGAGATAGATAGATAGATAGATTTCATACGATACGTATTTCATTGGCCTTATTTGGCCTCATGATGCGTTGTGAAGAATTTATTCGATTTACAACAATAATTTGCAATGTTATTGGTCCTGACCTCGGCGTCAGTCACTTCCCCACCGCCGTAATGTAGCTTCCCTGTGCCTTTTCTATAAATACTTTCATGGTAATTGTTCTGATGAACTTTCCTTTATGCTACCTAAATTTTATGAATTTAAGTGCACAACTAGCTTGGCGGCAAAGTCTCATTATTTTAGCGTTTAAATGTCAAGATGTAACTGTACGTTTTATGCTTGCAGTTTCTTCTCTCGTCCTTCTCGATTGTGGCGATTTCATGCTTCCCTGTCAATATTGATCTTCAAAATTTCAAATGCAATATCAATCGTTATCTTCTGTCTTCTTAATTTTAGTTCTTTTATTATCATCTCTCTCTAATAGTATTTTCTTCTCATATTCTCATACGGTAATCCCTTGCGTCTTGGTGGCTTTATTGTATTGCTTGAGGTGAAATGATTAAAAAAAAACTGTCCAAGTGTCTGAATTTATTTAGCATAACTTAGTAAGAAAGTCTAGTTAATACAAATAGAAAATCAGAATTAAGGAAAATTAACACAAAATTGTTTTTATCTGGAAATTTAGCAAAGTGAACTTTGATAAAAGATTCTACCTTTATTACGCCAGTGTTTGAACATATTTACCGAAAATTGCGTCGTATAAGTCGAGCGGGCGTACAAGTCGATCTGGCGCACAAGTCGACCTCAATACTTTTAGTTCAAAATTACGAGTTGACCCCGAAATATACGGTTGGCAGTGAGTAAAAACTGTGACCCGAAATGATTGTTTTAGGCTTGAAAACTTGACCCCAAAAATATTTCTTGCAATTTACGTTTACATGACTTGATTAGGAAACATAGTGGAGTAGTTTATTGTTGCCTTAGTCACCGTTCTGAGTCCATAGTGCATCTTCTTTTAGACTGGTTGCAATCGAAGATGAGACCTCAGTCTAATTCTATTTAATTGATAGTTGGTGGGGCGGGGAGAGATAAACCCTACGCATTAGTGCCAATGAATAGGCCAGGATTTGAACTCGGTTCACCGGTTCAAATTTCCGCGCCGGTAACCGTTACGCCCTTCACTGATTTTATATTAAAAGAGCATAAAAAAAACAAAAAAGCTATTATTTATCAGATGTCAAAATGTAAAGTTAACGCAATAAGTCTGCTGGCTGCATTTTTTCATCTTCAAAATATATTTTATCTTCTTTTTTTTATTGTTATTTTTTAGCTAATTTAGATTCCCAGATAGATAAAATATAAATGCTGCATCTTCTTTATTCTATGTAGCGTGTCACGTCAGTACGTGAATGATCATGACTCTCCACCACTTCCTCTTCATTTTTATCTCTTAGTAAGCGTTGTCTTCTCCCAATCTATCCTAATCCCTGTTCTGCCAACGATTTACACAAGCCCATTAAGTATGTTATTTGCTGCTTTCATGAAGCCCTCTGGCCTTCAGTATATTCCTCTGAGTTTCAAATTATATAAGTCGTCTTTCTTCAGTGTGGGTCATCGAAATTGTATTTATCTCTTTTTGATTCTATGTATAAGTGTCCTTGTTTCCATCTCCTCTAAAACTTTATTCACGTGTTCTGTTGATTCAAATTTAACCATCATCTGTGAGAAGATTGTCCATCGTTCAGTCATATAGAAGGGCCGATATTACATTGAATTTCAGTGACCGTTTGTTTAGTGTTTGAGAGGCATCATTCCTATACGAATGCAACTTTGGTTTATAGTGTCATATTTTCCTTCCTCTTTTAAAAACTTGCATAGATATTTTAATTTTTGTATTGCTCGATTTTGACATGTCGCAGTTCGTAGTTCTCATCTCGTAGTCCTTAGTTCTCATCTCGTAGTTCGGAGATCTCATCTCGTAGTTCGGAGATCTTATCTGGTATTTCTTAGTTCTCATCTCGTAGTTAGTAGATCTAATCTCGTAGTTCTTAGTTTTCATCACGTAGCTCTCAGTTCCCATCTCGTAGTTGTACTTCTTAGTTCTCATCTCGTAGTTCGGAGATCTCATCTCGTAGTTCTTAGTTCTCATCTCGTAGTTTGGAGATCTCATCACGTAGTTCTTAGTTCTCATCTCGTAATCCAGAGATCTCAT